AATGGGGTTAAGGTCCGGGCTTTGTGGTGGCCATTTAAGGATGTTAACTTAACTTTTTTTGAGGAAATGTTGTGCCACTTTGCTGGTGTGTTTGGGGTCATTGTCTTGTTGAAAAAAGACTTGCGATCTGAATTCAATTTTTTAGCGGATTGACATAAATGTTTGGAAAGCAAATCAACATACAATTGTCCTGTCATTATACCTTCAACATTCACCAGTCTTCCCTCACCATTTGAAGCAAAGCATCCCCAAACCATAATTGAGCCACCTCCATGCTTGACAGTTTTTCTAAGATTTCTATCTAAGAGTGCATCACAAGGTCTGCGCCAAACTCTTTGTAGTTTTTTAAAGCCAAATGTTGGAAATTTACTCTCATCAGACCATAACACTGAGTTCCAAAATGCCTCATTTTTGTTAATATGCAGTTTTGCAAATGCTAAGCGTTTTTTTTTGTTTATACCACTAATGAGGGGTTTACTTTTTTGAAGACGGTTTATTAAACCACTTGAATTAAGTCTTCTCTGTGCAGTTCGACTGGAAACATTTAATTTAAGATTTTCAACAATCTGTCTTGAGGTTATTGTTAAATTTTGTTTTGCTATTCGCGCAATTAGCATATCAGTTCTTGTTAAAGTCTTAGGGGAGCGACCAAATCTTTTCTGATTTTCAACAGAACCAGTTATTTCAAATTTTATACACATTTTTCTAACACCACTTATCGATATTTGATATTTTTCTGCACATTGCTTGTAGGTTAGGCCCTTTTTTCGATCACAAATGACCCGAGATCGGATGTCCAATGAATAATTTTGATGATAAACCATTATTATTGTTAGTTTTACTTTTTCTAAAAATAAATTCCGAAAAAATAAAGTTTAAAATGCTCATTTTTAATAAATTTAACAAAATCTCTTTAATAATAATCATTTTTAATAAATAGCTATTGACAAAACATTATATTTCATAATAAAAACTCAAATGTTTCTTACTTTTGTCACATTTATTTTTGAAAAAAAATTTGTGAGCTAATTTTGTTTAATAGATTAACTTTTGCAAGGAATTATAAAAAGTTATAAATGTATTTATTTTTCTTAGGAATCAAATTTAAAAAAAAACATAAAATTATTGCAGTTATGTAGATCTTGACATAAATAATTTTGTTTGTATTGTTAGAGTATCAATTTTATCAACAATGTTACTTAATTTTGTCCGTGACTGTATATATATATATATATATATATATATATATATATATATATATATATATATATATATATATATATATATATATATATATATATATATATATATATATATATATATATATATATATATATATATATATATATAGACACACACACACACACACACACACACATATATAAATAAAAAGAAAAATGAAAAAAAACAACAAAAAAACAAGAAGCCCATCAAGAACATTTGTACAGGTTTTATTTCAAAAGTTGATCTAAAGGGAAAAAGTTTACAGTTGATCACTCTCTTGCCGAAAAATTCCTATTAACTCCATCTTAATAATCTTTAATAAACTTAAATATATTTTTTAAATTTAAATTTAAAAATATTTATATATATATGTATATTTTTATCAAAATAAAATTATATTTTTAAAATTAATTTTGAATTAAGTCATATATTTTTTATCAGAATTCAATTATATTATTGTGATCTTTGCTTCAAGCTTAAAGTGTTAGCATTTTTCATTTTTTGATGCGCTGAAAATAATTCTGGGCACCAGAGAATTCTTTGAAAGTGGTAGGATTGCTAAAATAATGACAAAAAGGAACATCGAAAGACTTAATACAATGTTTGACCACAAAGACAGAATATCGCAAACATAGGCAGCTTGGAAATTTAAATGCACCTAAGTATATATCAGCAAAAAAACAAAGTCCTTAATTAGGCCAAAGAAGAAGCAGAAGATTCCATTAAAGGGACTGCCAAGTCCCGAGACATGCTGTGTTCATATTAAAGAGAATGTTAAAAAAAAAACGTCTGAGTGAATTTTTTTAAATTAAAACTGATTAATAAAAGTATACCAAGAAAGTCAAATCTTGTTGTTTAAGTCGAAGCTTGTCTTCTCCATTTTCTGCAGTATTTGGAGTCTGTAAAATAAATGCAATTTTCCAGGCGCATTATACCGACTTGATAATTTATTCAAGTGCGTTTAATTTATAGAAGTTTTAGTACATGACGTCATTGGAAATATTCTAGAAATTCTTTTAAAAATTTTACTATTAAATTTTACTAAAATAGCTAACTATAGTTAGTTATTTTATTTTCTAAAATCTTCACATTTAAAAAAACTTTATGTTTTTTTGTAGCTATAAGAGCCATGGCTACATAGGCCACGGCGATGGTGGACCTAGGGACCCCTATGGCACCAAATTGAGTTATATAATATCTCCGATGATTCACGAGTGTATTCTTTACATTTTGATGCAAGTTGTTTCGACAAATCTAACAAACAATTAATTAAACCAAGCACTAGGGACAGATATAAAAAATAAGAATATACTAATAAAATATATAATTTGTAATTAACTTTTAAAATTTGGACAATTTAAAAAATATATATTATAAAACATTTATTTTTGTAAACAAATGATAATAGTTTAAAAGATTTACGGCTTTGCAGATGTGGCTCTGATAATGAGTCATAATGTTAAAGAATTAGTTCATTTGATAATATATTTTTAAAAAAATTTATGCTAGATATCTCAAAATGCAACAAATCATAAATAATACAATTCCTAAAACATTTCAAGAGAAGACTCTAGAACTTCATTTTGCTTAATCAGCGTATTTTTTGAACCAATAGAATTTGTTTGTAAATTTGGCAAGTTTTTAGTGTTTGCAAATATTCTTTTTATTCTTCCGCAAGATGTTTTAAGAATATCCAAGTTAATTATGTTTCCATGTATGTCTGTAAAATAAAAATTAATATATACTAGTTTTTTAATTTTTAAGCCCCCGCCATAATATGTATTAAATGTTATAATAATGGAAATATAAATAATGAAATAAGATCACCTCAATACCAAAAAATACATTTTTAAAAATCAGAGAAAAAATGCGTTAATAATTTTTTTTTTAATATTTACAAAGTAAATAAATAAAAGTGTATCATTTTTAAGTTAAAAATTTTTTATCTAATATTTTGAAAGAAAAACTTATAACAAAAGAAATCAAAATACACATGGTCTAGAGGATTATTTAAAAAAAGTTGCGCAAATAAAATACTATTTTGTTTTCAATTTTTTTTTTCAAACACATTTTAGAACTTTAAAATATAATAAAAATGAATACGATTTGGAAATTGCATGTCAAAAATAATAATCGGTGTTTTAAACAAACAAACAAAAAAATCTATGATGTCGTGTACTAAAACTTATATGAATTAAAAGCACTTGAATAAATTATCAAGTCTGTATAATGCGCCTGAAAAATCACATTTATTTTACAGACTCCATATTCTGCAGAAAATGGAGAAGGCAAGCTTCGACTAAAACAACAAGATTTGTTTTTCTTGATATACATTTATTAATTAGTTATAATAAAAAAAAAATTTGCTTAGACGTTTTTTTTTTAAATTCTCTTTAATATGAACACAGCATGTCTCAGGACTTGGTAGTCCCTTTTAGAACTTGTGACCAAATAGAGACAGCTCAAACAAAGTGCAGTCAACTGTATTGAATTTTTGCCAATAAATTGTTAATCTTTGACGATGAGTCAAAGATTAACAATTTATTGATCACAAAAAGTGACTTCACATTTAGCCACTCTTTGATTAATGGAAATGATATTTATTATTCAAGTGATTTTTTTAACATTAACAAATCTAAAATTCAACCCTATTGCAAAATAAGAAAAGAATGTACTCATTTAGATTTGGATATCTGATAAAGGAATACCTTTGCCAATAGTCAGATAAAGTGGCTTTGCAATCAATCAAGAAGTTTACAAAAATGATTGTATCAAGAACAAACTTATTCCCTTTATCAAAAAGCAACATTCTGATGGTGATTACATATTTTGGCCTGATCTGGCATGGTCTCATTACGCAAAATCTGTACAAAACTACATGTATGAGAAAAAGATCATTTTTGTCAAAAGAGAAGATAACCCTGCAAATGTGCCTGTGTGTTGTTTGATGAAGGATTTTTGGAATATTCTCAAAGGAAAAAAAAAAAAGCCAATACCAATGTCGATACCGATGAATTAACTAATTATTAAAATTTTGATAAATATAAAACTATACAACTTTAAATTTTTTAAAGTGTTTAAATTTTTTCATGGAATCAGTACTGGTAAACTAATACTTGAACCCAAATCTAAGACAGACCATTATTTTAAAAGATATTAGAAAAACTTTTTTTTTTTTGTTAAATAATATAATTTTTGTTAAATAATATAATTTAAATAATATAATTTTTTAGTTTTTTTTTACTATGAAAAGGAAACTTTCAAAGAATAGATATAACTTTAGAGGAATGCTTTTTATTTCAATTTATTTAAAAAAAAATGGTACTAAGATAAACAGTTTACTTAGAATTGTTTATTAATTTATTGGTATTCTCGAGTCCTTAATACAAACGGGGTGGGATTTAATAAATGGAGAGGGAGGGGGGTGTTCATGTTACTATATAAGTATTTTTTATAAAAAAGTTTCTGAACTAATATTTTTTACAAAATACGCTTAAAACTATTTAATTCTAGTGTGGCTTGCAGTGGCATGCCCATTTTCGAACAGCTTTTTTAACATAATTTTAATAGAATTTAATATGCTGATATAAGTACTTTGGTAAGAAATAAACATAAAGTTCATTTTTGATCAAAGAGGTTTATTAAACCTTAATAAAGTTTATTAAACCTCTTTGTTTTTGACAAATCGAGATTTACTAGGTCGGTGATTTTTAAAGTCTGTTTACACTGAAAAATTTTTGTATTTATCAGAAACTGAAAGAATTATTTAACTTTAGTGTGAGTTTATAACAATTGCTGATTCAAATATCGATGGTAATTTTTTGGTTCATCATTTTATATCAAGTGTTTTGAAAAGTAAGTTTTTTTTAGAAACTTTTATTTTTTTTCAACTATTTTATTTCTCTACTTTATTTTCTTCTGGACTTTGTGTTTTATTTGCAGAATGAATTTATTTTGATTAATTTTTATGATATTTTATGACCTTTCTAGAACTCTTCAATAAATCTTAGTTTTTTAAGAATAAGTTTCAAAACAAAAGCTACATCAGATTGGGTTAAAAAAAAGATGTCCAAAGGATGACATGGGCTGGTTTAAAATGATGATTATGGCAATACATCTATCATAAATAGTTTTTATCTTGTAATAATATACTTATCATAAAAATTGCATTATATTATAGGTTAACTTACATTCTCCTAAAGCTAGCTAAATGTAGTAGTGCAGAAATTGATAAAATGAGAAAAGTTGAAAAATAAAGTATTTTATTTGTTAACTATAATATTATTTATTAGCTATCATATTATTTTTATTATTAGAATTAATAAAGTATTATTAATATTCAATATTTGTAATTAAATGGTATAATTTTTAATGGTTTTCAACCACATCAGTTCAAAAATGTTTTAAACAGTCATTAAGTTTGCAAGTGAGCATTTTATTTAACTTTGAATTAAAACATCATACAGCAGTTGCAACTGCATGTCTTTGAGAAGATTTAGATATAAAAGTAGCAATTTAGGATAATAATACTTCAATAATTTGTAAACTCATGCAAAACTCAATATGAAAAAAATATTTACTGTCAAATAATTGTAAATCTCATTTTTTAAATAAGCTTTTCTGCAAACATTCCATAAAAAATCAAAGCTTCCAAAACAATGTTTCCTACATTTTTTCAATAAAAGACATACTTTTTTTTAATAAAATCAGCAATAAAGCTATTTTTTTTTTAAGTAAATTTTTTTTGTTTAAAAACATTTTATTTAAAAATTCTACAGAGTAAATGGAGATTATATTCTGCTCAAATAAATCTAAAAAACATCAATAAAGTTAATAAAACATTTAAAAATTTTGTTGTTTAAAAAATAAGTCATACTTAGCACAGTTTTTATTTTGTTCGTGTAAACTGACTTATACGGGCGTGAAGGAAGGCACTAACAATATTTCTGAAAATTTCTAAAAAATTTTATGATTAACTTTGTTGCTGAACTTGAAAATTACACATAATGGGTAAGACATTTTTAAACAAGTAAAAGTTATACATATCTATCTATATATATATATATATATATATATATATATATATATATATATATATATATATAAATATATATATATATATATATATATATATATATATATATATATATATATATATATATATATATATATATATATATATATATATATATATATATATATATATATATATATAGATATAGATATAGATATAGATATAGATATAGATATAGATATAGATATAGATATAGATATAGATATAGATATAGATATATATATATATATATATATATATATATATATATATATATATATATATATATATATATATATATATATATATATAGATATAGATATAGATATAGATATAGATATAGATATAGATATAGATATATATATATATATATATATATATATATATATATATATATATATATATATATATATATATATATAATATATATATATATATATATAGATGGAGGAAAGGTTTGTTTGTTTGGATTTGTTCAAACTTTAACACATTATAGCAATGCATGTCAGAAGTTGGTATGTTTCCTTTTTTTTTTTCTTTGATAATAAAAATTGTTATAATAATTCTAACAATTGAACAAATGAACTGCCTAGAATGACAAGTTTAAAGTAGGCTAATACTCCTTTAAAGAAGGTTAAGATTGGTCAATGCTCATTTTTTACTTTTTAATTGGGCATTGTTATAACAATAACTATATACAAAGCTAAATACTGTTTAGTCAAATGGTAAATATGGACATAGTGACAAATCATTCAGCTTACAAGGCTGTTTAGTTATGATTTATAAAAATTGTATAATATTTTCTTATAGATTTTAAAAGCTTTGAAAAGTTGAATGTTATGCTGTTTAGCTCCTATAAATGAAAACTCACAATTGTATGTAAAATATTTGTTTGATAAAAACTGCTAGAATGCTAGATTTCTTAAATTAAAAGCATTTATTAAAGGCTATGATATACTACTACTATTTAATAAGGCTATCAATGCTACAATACTTCAGCAAATTTTGGAGTCTTCAATGGTAAATAATAAAGTTTTACTGCTTGATAGTTGGAGTATTCAATGAGTATAGTGACAGTGAAAGCTAAAATTTTTCAACCACTTGCTCATATGTTGCTAAGTAAAACTGGAATGAAACATGTAACACATTAGAATTAAAAGTAGAATTTTATTACTCTAGACTTGCATGCCTCAGATTGTTATAGCTCTTAACAGCTAGTAGGTGAGCTCCCACAACAGCTAGTAGGCAAGCTCCCACAACAGCTAATAGGCGATCTCCGCAATAACTAGTAGGCAAATTCTATTTTTTAATTTGTAAAGATCATTGAATTATTTATAAATACTCATTGACATAATGATTGTTTTAAAAATAGCTCTTTTAACCTTATTTTGCTAATAATTATTAAAAATAAAAAATTTTAAAATAATTATATTATTTTTTATATAATTCATAACTTTAAAAACTACTTAAACTTTCAGGTTGTTTTTTTTTAATAGGGTGTTAACTTGCAAACTTACACAGATGAAGGAAGTTTTGCGTTTGTTGATATTTTGAAAAGTATTTGTGACAGTTTTCTGGAAAGTGACACCCTGTTTTATGACATTAGGTAATTTAATATTTTGAATTTGTTAAAAAATTTTCTTTCAGAAAAAATTTAATTAGGCATCCGTAAATATTAACATTTATTTTTTCTGTTTGTTGTTAGTTTTTTTGCATTTTAGTTGTTAAAATTTATTGTATGAAAAAAAATTTTGATTAAGAGACAAAAAAGAGTTTGTTAAATTTTTTTTTTTGTAAATTTTTAATGTTACTGTATGCAAAAAAAGTTTATAATCTTTTTAAGAAACAAAACAAAACAAAAGTTCTTAGATAGGTTTGTCATTTTTATGTTAGATTTAGTTTCTTATGATTTTAAATTAATAAAAGACATTTTGAAAAAAATAAATAATTGAGTGAAGTGTTTTCCACTAAAACACAGAAAATTTTAATTTAATCTTTAAATATAGGTAAATTTCTTAAAAAGTCATTTTAAAGTTTCAAAAGTTACATCATTTTAAAACTTTGAATTACTTTTTACATAATGTTACCAATTAAGTTTAGAATTATAATGAGTCTATAAAAGTGGGTTTATTCTATCAGTTATAGAATTTTTAATATCTTCTCGAATATCCTTCTTAAGTAAAAATATTTTGTTCCATAGTTAATGTACCAACATAATGTAAATTTGTATGTAAAATTATTAATAAAAAAAACAACATATTTTTCTCTGTGTTTATGATTTCTTTAAAACTGTGAAACAAAAAATATCTGGTGCACCACTGTGGCAAAATTTTAAAACAATAACATACCTTTAATACTATTATAACAAATTCTCTAAAATGTTTTTTTGGCTATGACAAGTTCAATAGTGCATGCTTTTAGAGCATAGATTACATAATTTACCATAATGTATTAAATGATTAATACATTTATGGTAAACTACAGACATGCTTTTTTTAAGCAATTGATGGTGTGTATCAATATGAATAATTCCATGCATGCAATAAATTAAATTTTGAAATAAAGTTTATCATAATAAAATACATTTCCACTGATATCTACAATTTGGTTAAGTATCAATTAAATTCAACTTATAAATGACCATTATATTAAAAATTTAAAAACATCAATTAAAATTTAAAACGTAGAACGTTCGAAAGTTCAACACTTTTGCATCAAATATAATTTAACAAACCAAACAATTTCACTGATATCTTAGATTCAGTTCAATTGATACTCTTGTTAATTTTTAGATGTTTAGTCAGGGTGGTGTTTAGTCAGGGTGGTGTTTAGTCAGGGTGGTGTTTAGTCAGGGTGGTGTTTAGTCAGGGTGGTGTTTAGTCAGGGTGGTGTTTAGTCAGGATGTTGTTTAGTCAGGGTGGTGTTTAGTCAGGGTGGTGTTTAGTCAGTATAATGTTTAGTCAGGGTGGGGTTTAGTGAGGGTGGTAAAATTAGGAGTGTAGCTTTAAATGCTTCAAAGCTGTTTATAAAAGAATTGCGTGAGTCACTAAAACAAACATTTTGACCTTTTTTATTTATAATTTTAAATATTATGTTTTAAATCATATTCAAAATTCATAATCTTTTTTACTAAAACATTAAAAAAATATATATTGCAAACAAAATGTCATAAAAAACAACCTTTTTAATTTTTAGTTTGTTATTTTTTGTATATTAAATATAAGAAATTCATTTTTATTTGAAACCATTATTGTTTCTGAAATGTCTATGAAATTCTGGTTGTTTTGAGACCCAAGTTGATTTACTTTTAAAGAAAAAAAAGTTCACTGATATATGGGAGTCAGTGTGTAATCCAGGGTCCACCATGACCCGCGACCGCGTTTTATTTAATTTTTTCAAAAATTAAATAAAACCAATGACTTTCTAGTTACTTTCAAACCAAAGTTTATCTGTTTTTATATTAGAAACTTTATTTTAAAAAATTTATATTCCTAATATATATATATATATATATATATATATATATATATATATATATATATATATATATATATATATATATATATATATATATATATATGAGAGATATATATTTGTATTCATAATAAATTTATAATATTCATAATACATAATTTGTATTCATCAAAAGATATAAATAATAACATTTTACGCAATAATAATTTTATTAAGAAGCCCATTTTTCAAACAAATCATTTTAAATTTTGTATTATCGAGGACAATTCTTTTGGAATAAAATAGTTTTAAAAAATTTTACTGAGGATTTTATTCATCAAACTACTTTTCTTTTAACAAAAGCTTAAAGAACTCATTTTTACAATCAACGATTTTACAATATGTTTTTGATATTTTTTAGTGATCTTCCTTTTTACCCTCTATTTAAATGTGAATTTGTAAAAATTATATATGTATCATTAACAACTGTAATATTTAATAATGTATCTTGTATTTGTAACAGAATATGTTAACTTATTTTTTATATTACTTACTTCGTTAACTTATTTTTTATCTTGTAAATATCTTATAATTTTTCACATGAACATTCCTACGCAACAACAAGACCATATGTTCTTCTATGAATTCCCACATTCTTTTATTAGTAAATAATGATCATTATATATATATTTTTATTGTATATTTGTATTTTAAATATTGTAACAAAATGCTTATTTAAAATGTAATAAAAAGAACATATATATATATTAGGCCTTGTGATGAATAAAAACTGCGCGACGCATAAGCACAACGTGATTTTTGACGTCATTAAATTCTTTTTATTTGCTTTTCATATTTATCGACATTAACTGCACCAATTTACTTAATTACCGCAAAACTACTTTAAATCATTAATGTAGAAATGTTATTATTTAAAAATGTTTTGGAATGTTTCGTTTTTTAAAATATAAAAACATTGGTTTATTTTCTTGATGTTTGACGCGTTTTGTCTACTAAACGAATAAAAAACATTATAACTAAACATTTAAAAAAGATTATAAAATATGCTAATATTTGATTTTCTCAAATAAGTAATTTAAATTTTTTTAAATAATTATTTTTTCTTTTTAAAAAGTCAGCGAGTAATAAACTGGAAATTTTAATATTGTACGATTAAAAACTGTGCAATAGCTAATATTTTTACTAGCGATTTTATATAATATTTTTTTATTTATTTTTATTTATTTTCATAAAGCGGTTGATAACCACAATCACTCGTATTACTAAAAAACTTTAACGAATGTTTTGAATAGATTTTTAATGTTTACAAGGAATTTTATTTTTGGTAAAATAAAATAAAATGTTAGAATAAAAATCTTATAGGTATAAAAGACATACTTTAGCGAAAAAATTATTCTTAAAAATTATTCAAAAAACTATTGACGTTCTATTTTTCAGCAGCTATTCTTGAGCATGCTTTGTTGAGTTTCGGTAACTTTAAAACCTAACAAACCCTTGTAAATAATTTTAAAACCTAACAAACCCCCGTAAATAATTTTAAAACCTAACAAACCCCCGTAAAATAATTATTTAAGTTAAAAATCTAAAATCAAAAGAAAGTATTTTTGTTCAACAACTTTGCTATTGCTGAATAATTTTATTAAAATGTTAGCTTAAAAAAATTTAAACTTTTTTTTAATCTGAATTTTTTCTTCTTGTAAATAATGAGCATATTTAATTTTTTTGAAATTCAAACTTTTATATCAACTGCGTGTGGTTTTTAAAATGTTATTAAATGTTAAAATAGTCGTAAATTACTTCATTAAAATTCTGCTTAAAAATATCTTAAATATATACTCAAACAAAAAATTTTTTGCTCGACGCAAATAGCCCTAGCTACATGCAAAATCGCTCTTGGACAAGGTAAAATTCACATCGCCCGACGCAATATCACAATATATATATATATATATATATATATATATATATATATATATATATATATATATATATATATATATATATATTTATATATGCTATATATATAGCATATATAAGTAACAATTTACTGATAATGATTTTTTTTTTTTTTTAATATAATTGACAGTTGTATAAAGATGTGCACAACTTAGTTGATTTGCCATTTTCTGAGTTTTTTACTCTCGCTCCTACTAATTATTCAATTAGATGTCATTCCCAAAAATTAACATCACGTATCAACTACATCAATGATATAAGGAGATTTTTTCAGTGAAAAATCTTTACCTGATTATATGGTGTATCCCTGTTCATTGTCTCTATTGAAATCCTTTTTAAAAACATGCAACATTCAGAGACACTGTTTACTGTTTTAAACTTGGCGTTGCATAAGAGTAATTCTCTTATTACCCGTATCACCTTTTTGTATTTTTATTTAAACGCAAATAAATTGAAATAATAAAGTATATATATATATATATATATATATATATATATATATATATATATATATATATATATATATATATATATATATATATATATATATATATACATATATATATATATACATATATATATATATATATATATATATATATATATATATATATATATACATATATATATATATACATATATATATATATATATATATATATATATATATATATATATATATATATATATATATATATATATACATATATATATATATATATATATATATATATATATATATATATATACATATATATATATATATATATATATATATATATATATATATATATATATATATATATATATATATATATATATATATATATATATATATATATATATATATATATATATATATGTATATATTGTTTATATAAGTTACATCGTTATATATATGTTTTATATTTAATTGATTAAAAACATTGTGTTTGGTTAAATATTATTTTTATTATTAAATAGTGATATTTTGGCTTAGTTTGAGCCATTATCAAGCTGAAAAAATATACAAAATTCATAAAAACTCAGTTAAAATAGTTAATAGTTATACAAAATTCATAAAAACTCATAGCAAAAATGATGTCATTGCAAATGTTGCAGATTTAGACTTGTTAAGTTTAACAAAAAGTGGTCTCCAATGGCGTGTCATCACTAAGTTACCATTGTTGCGATTTA